CAACACCAATCAATCTACATAACAACAAGTGCACAAACGTCACACACAAAACTACTATTTAACACGACGAGCGGCAAACTTGGATTGGAATCAAACCCCAACTCTTTTTCCCATCTCCCATGTACTTACAACACCACCAACAGGTTCATCATATAAACATATATATATTGACATGAAATTCCAACCTTATATTTATTATAGAAGTAACATCAAACAACCCAACAAGATATAAAAACAACATGGACAACTTCTAGGTATTGTGTGGTTACTTCTTCTCCTATTTACAACATACTCAACATATTTACAAGCATAACAAAAATAAGAAAATTATATCAAGCTATTCCCCATGATTTCCATCCAGAAGAAGTCATATAAACAACTCCAAAATAGTGCAATAAGAGATAACAACTTCTTATACAACTTTAAGTTCTATCTTGTAATTCTTCATCCAAATAACTTAACCAACACATAGATAAACTTAATCCCAAGAAATAGGGTGTTATAAATACCTTAAATAATAAGGAAAAACTTGATCCAAAGCTTTCTTTAACTTACAAGTGTCACGCCCCAAACTTGAAGAGGCGTGGCCGGCACCATGTGCCATACTCGGCCCGAGCGTACCACTCTGTAACTGTGAACTCTGGAGGAGTAACTATCAACTTAGGCCGATGAGGCCATATTCTGAATCGTCTGAAAATAATGTATCTCTCATCTGTGGGGTAAACATACCCAAACACTGATATATATAACTATGCAGGCCGACGAAGTCGCCATGAACATCTACTAATATACAAGACTCGTCTACAAGATTCTAGAGATAACTGAACTGTACCATGATCAGGACAGGGCCTCGACCTACCCATCAAACCTATATATATAAAATAGACTCCAAGGTCTAGACCTGGTAACTCCGAGGAAGTGGAGCTTACCAACTAAGATGATGTTTGACTTTATCTACTGTGAGGGTCTGTCCAACTATTTATCAGGACCTGCATGCATGAAATGCAGCGTCCCCGGCAAAAGGGATGTTAGTGCGAAATAATATACCAAGTATGTAAGGCAACAAAATAACTGAAAGCTTAAACTAAGCTGATAATATAATAACTAAAAGTAACTGGGCGTCAAAGATAATATAAAGATATGCTTGCCTGCTGATACTGACTCAACTCTCTCAATATAGTAAGTAAAATAGTTGTCTAGCCTTATAAGGCTCGGTATGTGTAACTGCTCTGCCGTAGTAGGCTCGCTCATAGGCGCTCGACCATACTAGGATCTGTATCTCAGCCAACTAGGCTCTCTCATAAGGCTATGCCAAAGTAGGCTCGGTATATAACTTACCATTTGATCAGAGGTTGCCNTATGAACTTCTCTTTATGCCTCGTTATCAAACACATGTAATTACGAGATCATGCCAAAATAAAGAAAGGTTTAGCCTTAACATACCTGATCCGATGCTCTTGACAATCCTTCTAACACACGACAATCGCAATGAAACACATAACAGCGAGATCGAAATAGGGAACAATCCGTATGATATTCTTGCGAAAGATTGCACTGTACTCCCTTAGAATCGCAAATCCCACGTTGCTATAGTATTAAATAGTCTTCATATGAACGTTTGAAGCAATTACACTGCTATTGCAAATCAACATTTTTGTTGAAGCTTTCTCTCTTAATTTAGTAGAGATGAGCAAATCATTTTGGTGAATTAGAGAGATTATTTTTTATCCTTTAAGGGTGGGCCACACTAGGATGACTCGTCTTTGCCTAAAAGCCCCTAATTAGGCCACCTTACCATAATAGCTTAGAAGTCATTAGGATGGGGTGGTTGGCTGCCCTGTTTGGAGGTGTTTAACCTTATCCAAAATATCTTAATTACTTAATTAATCTCCCATTAAAAATCCATAATTACCCAATTATCCACAAAATTAATAATTATCTTAATTTACTTAAAATACTATTTATTTTTAACACGCTTTATACACCTTACTATCATGGTCATGTAGTACTTGTATGATACTAGTCCATAAATACCGGATATTATAGCTCGGACCTTATTTTATTCCAAATTGTCAAACTTCAACGGGAACTCATTTTCTTCGATTCGCTTACCCTCTCACCTTCACGAATTTACTTATCACTTGTTTGAAATAGCATAATACTTATAATCCCAAAATAATCTCATTCCTAAGCTTATGTCGATTAACTTACGACGAAACTTTAACGTACGAAAATGCAGAATGTAACATCTCATTTCCGAGCTTTCATTAATTTACTTATGGCATACTTTCACGTATGAAAACATGGGTTGTAATATCATTCCCCCCCCCCCTTTGGAATATTCGTCCTCGAATGTTTATTGATGCACTTATCATTTTCATAACCCATAGCTCTTGCAAATACTTTAATACTCTCCTTGCCATTTTAGGCAACTGTTCTGTGAATAAATCCAAAGGCCAGGGCATTCCCCCCTTTAGGCATCTTTCCCACACCATAACTTAGGGCCAGAATTCTTCTACTCTCATAACTGTTGCTACCTTCTATCATGCAGTCTATATGACTTTTTCCTTGTATGTGCGCCTATGCGACTCTTCCTTCCAGCTTTTAGTCAATCTCTAGGCTTCACTTTGTGAACATATACAGAATTATAACAAGATGTCCCTTTGGGTGTCCATGGCTTTACTTCATCTATGTAGGTCATACTCTACTATAAGTCTTACTTCGGTTTATTGTTATTGAGGTCTGCTACCAAACTCCAACTTACTCTCGTTGTTTATCCCATGTGTATAAATCTAAGTCTTTTAATGCTTCCTCATTACTGTTCATCTTAAAGATGATCTCATACTTTGTAACTTTTATCCATCCATTGTTGATTCACCTCAATATTGATCTATAATCTACTATTGATAACTTGACCTCTTATGTAACATTGCCTCTAGGTCTTACATCTTATCAGGGAACATCTAAAATGATTAGACTAATATACCTGGGGGCGATACTATACGTCCATAACTATATTTCATAGCATCCCAATGTGATTCACTTACGTATGTATTTTAATGTTGTACAATTCTTGGAATCCTTTTTTTCAAATTATTACTCAATCAAAGGCCCAAATGTCATCCTTTATCTAACACGATTATACCTTGTTCTATTACCAGGGCATCATTCCATCTCTTCTAAATGTAGTTTGTCTTAGACTCCTTTAAGTTCATTTAGGCTATACTGAACTTTCTATAACTTAGAGAAACCATCAGCTCTTTTGTTTTCCTGGGCTTAATCCTGAGGACTTATCCATTCTCGTCACCTTCTCACTCGCCCTTCCTTATCCTTACTCCTGTCTTCCTAAAACCTTGTCGTTATACCATACTTTAGCTTGCGACCCACACATATCTATTTATATTATTCGCAACCTTTTGCACCTGAGTATCTCGTACGTTGTTCACCTTTACCTTACTTACCTTAAAATCTTGCATCACGTCTTTTGTATCTATCATGACCTTCCTTACACATAGGTATAATTCACATCCACAACTTGAAGCTCTATTATAATACATGTACCTCTGGTGCATACACAATCCGGTGGGAGATTCATACTGACTTCTTCTAATGCTGTTACTTCTTCTAATTGGCTTTATCGTAGGGCCGTTATAGAATATGGTTGGTGTACTATCTCTCTTGTATCTCTGATATTAGAGTAATTCTGCAATGTTCTAAATCATGATTTCTATAATTTTCTGGATCCAATAATTAGACTCCCGATTTACTTAGTTGATGTAACTCTTTAGTTTCATCTTCCTTCTGATCAACCTTTATGTAGGATTAAACCCATGATATTAGTTATTACTTTAGCCTTTCATGGACTCTATGGAATACCCGTGATACCATCATCTAACAATTCAATCCTTTGTCTATGATCTAGACTCAATTCTCTTCTTTTATTTTAATTTATACCGGAGTCTTCTACGGCTGTATGATTGTCAACATATATGTTGCATGGATAATACTCAGAAATCTTAAGTGCGTTCATAACGCAACTAATTATGGATCATTGTTCGAATAATTCCTTTTGTTTCATCTTAGCTTTCTTTAAACGTAAGCTATTACTTTTTCTGGTTTTTCTACCCCCTTGTAGCGTGCATACTTAGCTTTTTTTAGTTCCCACACATGCCGGATTTTTTGTGCAACTCACATGATCTCGAATCTTACTTTCTTATAGAGTGCATACAATGTTGTAGTGAGACTATTGTTACAAGACCATTTCCTATTTAGGTCACTGTACTTAGGTTGAAGCCTTGTTCCTTATTTCCTTAGCTAGTCTTTTATTATAGTACTTAGGGAGGTTCCTCTGACTCTTGTAAAGTTGCAAGCTTTTACATTGTACACTCGATAGAAATTTTTCTTTGATGTCCTTCCTCGCCTATAATTATCCGTAGTTACTACCTCCACGCCCTTGTGCTTGTAGGGTTGCTTCTGAATTGATATTTTGATTGTCTTCCCAGTGGCACTCTCTTTTATTTCCAATACTCATACGGTATCTTTAACTATCCCAAATCCTATCTATAGACATGTGATTTTTGACCCTCCCCAAGATTTTTCATAATTTAACACGTAAATATTTAATTTAGGTCTAATATAGCTATTTCAACTCATTTTTACTCTTTTACTTTATTTTATTACAAGAAAATAAAAATTACATAAAATAGTTTCATTAATATTTTGTAGTCATTTTTAATTTTGAAAAATACGAAAAATAGTTTTGTTTTAACGGTCAGTCTTATTTCAATAGTTATTTTATTTAAGTAAAATTAATTAATAAATAGGGTAGCATTTTTAGTCTTATTTGCGGGGAAAGAATAAAACTTGGGCTCGAGCAACCCATTTTTAGGCCTAATTTTGGACCTAGCCCATAATTCCTAGGCCCATACCCCTAATCTAATACCTACCCCTATATAATAGATATACACTGAAAATCACAAGCAGTCGTTTCTTTACAATGGTGACCTAACGCCAAAATCCCCATCTGACCCACCGTTTTGGAAGAACAAATGAGCATCAGCGAAAATAATACAAAGAAAAGGATAAGGGGCAGCGCCGTCTTCTCTGAAAAAGCTAAAAAAAACGGCTGAACCTTTGATTCTCGAACCTAACGCCTCTGACCCATTTTCCATATTTGGACCTTTACCTTTATTCTTCTTTGAATACACAACATACACATAGATACAGTAGAGGTTAAAAAACAAAGAAAACAAATAAAATTCCATGTAAATCAAATCCAAAAAAAAACACATATAGAGATCTTGTTTTTTTTTCTTCTCGATTTTGGACTTTGGCTCTCTAAGAATGGATTTCAGTCTGAGTTGGGGTGTTGTTCGAGCTTTGCTCTTGGTTCGTGGATCCTGACCGCGAATTCAGTTGCGGATCGCTGACTCGCGGTTCCGATTTTTGTTCGTGTCGTCGGATCTGCTTGTAGCTTTTGGATCTTTCACTAATTTTAAGAAGCTCATCTGAGGTTTATTCTTCACCATCCTTTCACTATTTTTGTCTTTTGTGTGGTACAATAGTAAAATGTGCTATTAAATCCATGAAGCTATTTTTAGTTGTTGGGATTAATGTTAAGTTTATTCTTTGGCTCCTTTATTTCTCTTATGCTTTTCTTACCCTCTAATTATGTTGAGCTATGTTATCCGAACTTTCATCTAGTGTTTAATTTTCTTTTTAAAATGCTTTTCATGAGTAGTTTAAATTCTTATAGTTCTAAGCAAGAGGCTTTGTTGTTAAAGTTTTTTTTTCTTAAGTTTAGATTTTCTTTAATAAGAACGCCCTTCATCTTTTTCTTGAAAGTGTCCAGAATATATGAAAGGTTTTTGTTCTCTTATGTGAAAGAATTTTTCAATTAATAAAGCTTCTAAAGTCTAAGTCTACAAGGTCCATTGCGTCAAAACAAATGCATACTTCCCCATCCGTCTCAAGCTTTATGTACTACTACTAGTATTTTATCATTTAATTTTTGTGGGTCAGTAGAATCAGAATGGTCTCCTATTGTTAGAAATAAAAATCGAAACTTCAATGTTTGTTACTTTATTTACTTGAAATGTGTAGTTGCTTTAGGCGCGTAATTTAAATTACTTTCCTAAACTCGGGTGTGCATTTATGTGACCAAAATTCAAATCTCAACAACGTTAAATAAAATATGTCGTGGACCGCAGGTGCATTTATATGACGTAGTTCAAGATGTGTTTTAGATGACGTTGAATCTTTCTAAAAAATATTTAAATAAAAGCGGTTATAAAGTTAAAATTGAGCCATAGGCTAAAACATGTATTAAAAATCAGATAATATGCCAATAATAACAGTTGAGCGACCGTGCTAGAACCACGGAACCCGGGAATGCCTAACACCTTCTCCCGGATTAATAGAATTCCTTACCAGGATTTCTGTGTTCGCGGACTATAAAACAGAGTCAATCTTTCCTCGATTCGGGATTTAAACCGGTGACTTGGGATACCATAAAATTATACCAAGTGACGACTCTGAATATTTAATAAAATAATCTCGTTTCGATTGTCACTTCAAGTTGGAAAAAACTATCTTATATCACCTTCGGGTATGTAAAAAAGGAGGTGTGACACTATCTGAATATTTATCAAGGATTACAATGTCATATCTGCGAGACTGAATTTCCCATGTTGGGGTTCACTATGTTTATCTTTCATGATCTGTTGATTTGTCTATATCCTCTTGTCTAGCCATAACTAGGTTTTTCCTGAATCAACTACTAACTACTCATTGGTCCATTCTCATATCAATATTCCGCGTAATCTTTCTTGGGTCATTTCATTTGTCTTAACTTACTTCTCGCACTGGCTCTTTATTTATCAATAACATCTTGGGCAGGAACCCATACTTCCTCTCATTGACGTCGTGTTTGCATAATGTTCTGGAATCGTAGCATATCTATAGGCTTTGAATAAGTGCAATCTCATCCCTTTCTCCTTTTTATCGCATTCTTCCTTTACCGTTCCATAGTTACTAGAACCACTTAATTCTGACTTAATGTCATATCACTCAATATCCCCCCTTTAGGGGAGTACTAAGAGTTGGAGCCACGAGGATCTACCTATAGATGTTTTACCTTTTCATCATTGGCGTCTTTTCACATTATCGATGACCCATACTCTCCTTGTGGTAATCTTTCTGTACCAAGGATAACAAAATTCCTTACTCGCGAGGGTAACACTTAGTATAACTGGCCCGTACAGTCCCTTAAGCTTAACTTTGCTCACATTGATTTCTTTAGGGAAGCGTATTCCTGAATGAGCATTCTCTGAATTTCTCATGAATCTTCTTCTATTTGTCCATTCTGTTATCGCCGGACGCAATCTGAAATTCTCATGATGCCGACTATTATCAAATTACTTGGTCCCTAATCCATGTTTAGTTTATCTTGTTCATCAGCTCATACTAATTTCTATTACTCTGGAGGTCTAACTCTTCCTTCTGGTAATCACGTTAGAGTCGCAAACTTATTTCTCGAAATGAGGATATGACCATATGGCCTATACTCTTATATTGTCTTAAGGCCTGTCATTTCTCGCCTATTCCCTCACTTGATTATAGATTCTGTAATACTCTACCCTTGTCATCCATGTATCACATCTTACTCATAATGCTTCACTATCTCTTTTCTTATTTTTCTACTAATATTTCTATTTATCACTTTATTCTGAAAACTTTAACAAGACATTCTTTTGCTTTTAGCTCCCCTTACTCCATCTACTGGCTCTTCGGGTTGCCTAACATTCTTTCTCTACTAGGGACAAGAGCCACACTAAGATAATATTTATCCCTTCAAGGCGTCCAATGCCTATATTTGTAGTACTCATATCTAGCTGTACTATTTTAGAGTGCACCATCTGGGTGTCTCACAAGGAGATCTATTGGCACATTTGCAATATCCTTCGGAAATATCAACTAACGCAAACAATCCATCTATAATTTTGGTTACTCTAACCCCAGTCGGGTCCTGATATCCCGTCCTTCTCTAAAACCATATATGTTAGCTCCCATAGGATATAACTGAGATGGATGTGGCCAATTATATATACCTCTATTATTGTTGAAGGTAACTCACAATGCTTAAATTTTTCTGCCTGAGTTGAAAATGCCAATAATCTTCATTACTTTGGTACCTCGTACCCTTCTCATCTTGCTCCTTTTACTTGTTGAAGCTTGTACCTACCTGCTGAATCTCTCATTGCCTTTCACCATAGGGGTGGATAGATATTCTTATTTTAAGGCTCCTTATCGAGAGGTTTACACGTCTTAGTACACACATGATCTACTGAAGACCTTATATTTACTCATCATACGCATCATGAAAAATCGAGGTCCTCTGACTGAACTCTTCCACAGCCACATGCTATCTCTTACCAACTATCTTTTGGTTATAGGTATCGTCTCATTACGAGTAAAATAGAGTTTAAGAGTTCAAATTCTTATAATTGAGCTCTACCACACGATCTAGAGTAAGAAGAACGAGTGACAGTCCCAAATGCGCTGTAGCCTCCTGCTTATAAGTGTGGTGCACAACACACCCATAAACAAGACTCTACTAGACACGGCTTGTAGACTCTCTAGGACAGAACTGCTTTAATACCAAGTTTGTCACGCCCTAAACCTAAAGAGGTGTGGCCGGCACCTAGTGCCATACTCGGCCTGAGCATACCACTCTGTAACTGTGAACTCTGGAGGGGTAACCCTCAACTTAGGCCGATGAGGCCATATTCTGAATCGTCTGAAAATAACGCACCTCTCATCTGTGGGCAAATATACCCAAAAGCTTTGCCCATATATATATATATGGCCAAAGTTTTTGGGTATATTTGCCCACAGATGAGAGATGCGTTATTTTCAGACGATTCAGAATATGGCCTCAGACAAGCTTGTATATATACAGACGAGCTTGTGTATATGTATGTATGTATATATATATATATATATATATATACAGATCGATGAAGTCTCCATGAACATCTACTGATATACAAAATATACAAGCTCGTCTACAAGCTTCTACAGATAACTAAATGGTACCATGGTCGGGATAAGGCCTCGACCTACCCATCAAACCTGTATATATATAATGGACTCCAAGGTCTAGACCTGGTAACTCCGAGGAAGTGGAGCTTACCAACCAAGCTGATGTTTGACTTTATCTATTGGGAGGGTCTGTCCAACTATCAATCAGGACCTGCAGGCATGAAATGCAGCATCCCTAGCAAAAGGGACGTCAGTATGAAATAATATATCGAGTATGTAAGGCAATAGAATAACTGAAAGCTTAAACTGAACTGATAATATAATAACTGAAAGTAACTGGGCATCAAAGATAATCTAAATATATGCTTACCTACTGATATTGACTCAACTCTCTCAATATAGTAAGTAAAATAGTTGTCCGGCCTTATAAGGCTTGATATGTGTAACTGCTCTGCCGTAGTAGGCTCGCTCATAGGTGCTTGACCATACTAGGCTCTGTATCTCGTCCAACTGGGCTCGCTCGTAGGCGCTCGACTAAAGTAGGCTCGGTATATAACTTACCATCTGATTTGAGGTTTCCCAATAGGGGCCTGCCCATTGATTATAGCTCGATGGTGGTGAAAATACTATAATACTGTATATATATAGACCCTCTACTCTCTTGACTAGAAAAAGACGATACTCAATTGAATATGAAGTACCTATAAGGGGGAATACTGTAACTTATGAGACTAGGATAATGTATATAAATTCGGGAGTACGAACTTCTCTTTATGACTCGTTATCAAACACATGTAATTACGAGATCATGCCAAAATGAAGAAAGGTTTAGCCTTAACATACCTGAGCCGATTCTCTTGACAATGCTTCTAACACACGCCAATCGCGACAAAACACTTAACGACGAGATCAAAATAAGGAACAATCCATATGATATTCTTGAGAAAGATTGCACTGTACTCCCTTAGAATCGCAAATTCCACGTTGTTATAGTATTAAATAGTCTTCGTATGAACATTTGAAGCAATTACGTTGCTATTGCAAACCAACATTTTTGCTGAAGCTTTCTCTCTTAAATTAGTAGAGATGAGCAAATAATTTTGGTGAATTAGAGAGGTTTTTTTTTCCTTTAGGGGTGGGCCTTACTAGGATGACTCAGCTTTGCCTAAAATCCCCTAATTAGGCCACCTTACCATAATAACTTAGGAGTCATTAGGTTGGGGTGGTTGGCTGCCACGTTTGGGAGTGTTTAGCCTTTTCTAAAATATCTTAATTGGCTTAATTACTTAATTAATCTCCCACTAAAAATTTATAATTACCCAATTATCCACATTATTAAGAATTATATCAAATTACTTAAAATACTACTCGCTTTTAACACACTTTATACACTTTACTATCATGGTCATGTGGTACCTTGTATGATACTAGTCCATAAATATCGGGTATTATAGCTCAGACCATATTTTATCCCAAATTATCAAACTTCAATGAAACTCATTTTCTTCGATTCGCTTACCCTCTCACCTTCACAAATTTACTTATCACTTGTTTGAAATAGCATAATACTTATAATCCCAAAATAATCTCATTCCCGAACTTACGTCGATTAACTTACGACGAAACTTTAACGTACGAAAATGCGGAATGTAACATCTCATTTCCGAGATTTCATCAATTTACTTATGACGTACTTTCATATATGAAAATATGGAGTGTAACAACAAGCACCCTTAAATCCATCACAACACCATAAATACTCTCTCTTCACTTAGGCTAGTTTTGAGGTTATGTTTAGGTAAAAACCCCTTGGATTCAACTTGGAACCTTGGAGAACTGTTAGAGAGGTGTTCAGAGAGTTTGGGAACTGTCCTTGGTCGAAATGACCAAAAATAAGCCGTCCAAGCCCTTTAAAATGTTCAAGGTCGTCCACCGCCTAAGTGGGTCCCATTGGGAGCTGTTTGCGCTGTCTTACGAAAATGTGAATATCTCTCTACTCTAATTTTGTATTGATGAACGGTTTAATGCGTTAGAAACTAGACTCGGAGATCTTCAATATTTAGGTAGATCACACTGTAATTCCAAGTATATTTGGATAAAAGCTCTGCTACATTTGACCTAATCTTTAGCACATTTATGAATGTGACTTGTGATGACCTTTGCCAACTTTTGTTCCATAACTCGCTTAACTTCAAAACATAATACACGACTATCATACGACTAAAATAACTTATAACATAACCTCCTTATAATGTTAAACACCCTAGTCTCGTCCAAAAATTACATGTTCTAACATTCCAACTTGTTGACTTTCGTCGAAACTTATTTTCTTCAATTCGTTTAGCTTCTAAGACTTCCAACCCTCTTAGTACTTGGTATTCATAATCTTAAATTTTGGAACCTCCACGGTAACATGATTAACTTACTTTATAAACTTTTCAAAGATAATTTCATTTCTGAGCTTATCATCAATTAACTTACAACATACTCTTACGTACGAAAACATGGGGTGTAACTATATTGTTGGGTTTGCTGTGTGACAGGTTGGTAGTAGTACCGTTATAGAGGAGACTCTACAAAATTTTTATAGATCTCTGGGAGTTTAACATTAGGGGACGAATATTTCCAAGAGGGAAAGATAGTTACACCCCGTGTGTCCCAAGGTGACGTATAATGAATAAAAACTTTTTAATCATGGTTTAAATTAGTTTAAAGTCATAATATGACTATACAATATAAAATATAATGTTTGGGAAAAATCGGATTTAAATTGCGGAAAATCCGACTAAGGATTTGCATTGTAATAAAGCTTTTTGAGTAATACATTTTGTGTGTTATATGGGGTCTTTACCAAATTGAAGGTCTTGGAATATAGTTTTCAACGCTCTTAACCGTTTATTCATACAACATCCGGATAAATAGATATAAGCGTCAGAAGAAGGGCCAATGCTAGGGCGCCAAGCTAGCACCTCTTGACTTTTCAAAAGTTGATATATATATATATATATATATATATATATATCCCTTATGTCGTCTCTTTCTTCATTTTTCCACAGACCACGACCAAAATAAGATCATAAACGTACGCTTAATCTCTTTACAAGGGTTCAAAGAAGATTAACATCCCGGGTACGAAATCAAGAAGCGATAACATTAGAACGATCCCTACGACGTAAGTATCGTTATATCGCCTCTCTCTTTCTATGTAGTTTGAGTTTGGAAGGTACTTCATAGTTAAGAAAATACCTACTTGCTGTATTTAAGCTTTTATATATCCAGGAAAGTTGATAAATTTGTTTTCTAATAGTTAGAACTCATGGGACAGTGATCAGAAGCAGTGAGTTTGATTTATTCCACTTTTAGTGGATTGTTTTATAGTTCACTCATGTTGGCCTCTTGTGATGCTGATTTATGGAATTTTGGAGGATGCAGGGCATGGAGAAATGCCACATGTGGTAGGGTAGTGGATTGGTCACTCGTTGTTGCAGTTTTAAGCTACTTGATAACTTGTTGATTGGGTGTGTTATGGTATATTTGGGGTTTTTGTTATATTAAAGGTCCCGAATTGTAATTAGGTTGTTTTAGAGTTGCTGATTGTATGTGTTATTGTCTTGCCTATAGTAGGCTTGAGGGCGCAGTAAAATCAAGGGAAATGTTGCCCATTCTTTTTTTTACAGATTAGGTTATTTTCGTTATATAAATGAGAGTCATTCGTAACTTGACAAGAGCTTCACTGTCGTTGTTGTAGATTAAGGTGCAGGGAGCTGAGTTTAGCATTGTTATTGGACAGATTTCTATATGGTATGTTAAGGCTATCCCTTCTTTCCTTTTGGCATGATCCACATGATATAACGAAACGAGCAAGCATGCAACTTTCACAACTGATTCTATCCCTTCTTTCCTTTTGGCATGATCCACATGATATAACGAAACGAGCAAGCATGCAACTTTCACAACTGATTCTATTCTTGATTCCCCATATGTCCTACTATCATATCGCCTGTTCATGGGTCTCATGACATACCGAGAGATCTTATTGACTTACTTCATTATGCATTGAATTTATTTATACATGTATATTAACCCATGATCAGATAAAGTTATATAGGCATATAGTATTTGTATATGGGGTATATGGAAAGGTTATGTCATTATATATTCACCACCATCTGATCAGCTGGCATACTTTGATGATTTCACCCACTGAGGCCGAGATGATATGATGGGTTGCCCTTAAAAGCTTGATGATGTTATGTACGCATATACCTATGCATGATATGACATTTATACCCATATGCATGACATTATAAATATTTCATGATTCACAAAGCTATTCAGACTTACAGGTCGAATCCTTTACTCCATGTTTCTTTCATGCTTTTATATACTGATTTTTATGCCTTACACACTCAATACATTATTCGTACTGACACCCTTATTGCCTAGGGGCCTGCGTTTCATGCCCGCAAGTGTAGGTAGATAGGCTGACGGTCTCCCTTCTTAGGATCCTTGCTCAGCGAGAGTTGGTGTGCTCCATTTGATCCAGAGCTTCTATTAGGTTTTGGTACTATACTTTTGTATACATATATAGGTATGACTGGGCTTAGTCCCGTCCTTTATACAGTTGTACACTCTATTAGAAGTTTGTAGTCAGTCATGTATAGTTGGATAGTATGTGGCCTTGTCGGCTCGCCCTATCGTATACTGTATACATATGTACATATCTCTTTTGGGCATGTTTTACCGCGTATATTATTCACATGAATCGGTAGTTTATTGTCAGACGTTATGCATGACCTACCCTTATTTCATGTTTATATCTTAGACGTATGCTTAGAGGTGTTCGGCAGGTAGAACTCGGGCACTTGTCATGGCCCATCGATTTGGGTCGTGACAGGTCTCAGTTACAATCTTGCGGATCCATGCTCCCCTTCGTTTTCTCATTGGGGAATCGGGGTAGACATTGCCCCCCATTTTACCCATATACAATAATAAAAATTCTCACTCTATTATTTAACGGCTACAATTCAGTTGTTTTAGTGTAAACGCCGTGCTTGCGGATGAGTTTTTACCCCACATTATTAGTGAAGAGGCAGTTGAATTGTTGTAGTGATTCCTTAGGAAGAGAATTTTCTGATGAATTTTTGCTTGTTGGGGAAATTTCAAAGGGTGGAAATTCCAACGGAAAATGACGACAAGAATAGACAATTGGAGTTTCAGTGATTAAAGGATGTAGAAAAATCTAACTGGAATAAAAGCATTTGTAGCACGTCAATATGCAGTGTTTGCAGGTGGAGGCATCTATTCTAAGTATTTCTAACCAGGAACCAAAAGTTACCCCTTTTGGTTCATTGCTACCGTTGGTGGATTCTTTTATTCACTGATCAATAGAAGTTCCAACCATGTTGTCATCATCTGGATGTGGAGCAACATCGAAATCCAAAAATTCTATGATCACTATATTATTGAGTGGCATTTCCAAACGAGAATGATGGAAAGAATGTTGTGGGTCCTGGTAGACAGCCACTTTATTTTTTTATTTTTTAATGTTTGGAACTGAAAAAGTTAAACTCCCTCCGTTTTAATTTATGTGAACCTATTTCCTGTTTATTCTAAACAAAATAATTTCTTTTTAAATTTGGTAATAATTTAGCTTAAACTTATCATTTTACCCTTTAATGAGAAGCTTTTATAACCACACAAATACTCTGAGCCCCTTTTTGATTTGTTTAGGACCATAAATTTCAAAATTCTTCATTTTTTCTTAAACTTCGTGCCCAATCAAGCAGGTTCACATAAATTGAAAGGGAGTACGGCATTACACAAGCTTTTCAAAAACTAAAACCTATTTACGCATTTTTTAAAAGTAACCTGAATAGTTTTTTCCGGAAAAGAAAAAAGTCATTACTTTTAAAAACTTTTTCGTGAAACTGCTTTGTATAGATAGAGGTTAATTTCCTTATTCTTCACTTGTTCTCCGCCCCCTAGAGCTCTTAGGCATAAACAGGGCTTTGGTAAAGATGCGGATCTGTTGTCCCAAATTTTATTTATCAGATAAAAAACTATAGCTCCATACACTTAAGAATACATTCCCTTCCCTCGCTACCTCTAAGGGTCAAATTACATTTTAAGCTGCTGTGTGTCTACCAAGGCTGAATGTATTTATTCCATATTCTTTCTATACCAAATTAAATTAACTAGTCATTCTTCCCAATTGTGACAAAACTCTTCTATTAGTCACATTCTCAAAGTAGTCTGCTAACTATGGCATTTCTATATACTTGTATTACTCTTCAGCAAGCGCCAAACATGTTTGTTTCAGGCATGAGAAAATTTCATGAGATCTTTGTTGCCAAAAAATTCATGCAAATAGGAGGATTAACTTTGGCTAAAGCAAGTATTGATGATGGAAGAATCCATAATCCGTCGCCACAAATCAACCCTGAAGCAACAGCAGGAACCATTAAACTGGCCTTGTTGCTGTTGACCTTGTGCCATAGGTATACAACCAAACTGCCCACACACATATCAATTGCAAAGCTCGCTCCAACGAGGAAAGGAACGGCCATAGCCATTGGGAGAGGAACCCATTTGCCAATGCTTTTAGGGGCGACGTCTCTCACTAAATTGGCAAGTATAGCAAAGGCGAAGAAACCATAACAGAGCTGCAAGCAATGTTGGGGCAGAGCAGAGAAGCCTTCAACACCTAAGATTGCCATGTTCCTGTAGATTAAGGCATAAGGAGCTTTGTACTCCCCATCAGGATTCCCTACATCAAAAGCTTTGTAGAAGAGGAAAAACGTGAGAGGTGCTACCACACAACCGATAGCAGTCCCGATTCCTTGGCTAAGAAGCATCGAACGAGGGGAAGTCAGGGTTAGGTGGCCTGTTTTGAAATCATGCATGAGGTCAGAGGATATAGATACAATGGACTTGATCAGTCCACATCCAATAAGTCCAGCGACTACACCATTGTCTTTACCAGATAATGCAGCAAGCACAAAGAGAGCCACTTTGCCATAATTGTATGCCATGTTCATGTCAGTTAGACCAGCACCATAGGCATTGCAGAAGCTCAAAGATGGTGCAAGAATGTATGCGACGAGCACATAGTACCACTTCAGTGCAGGGAACATAAGTGGGATTAAAATGATGGAGATAACAGAGAAAACCATGTACCCAACACAAGCTACCCATAAGGGAATGCTCTCTCTAATGAATATTTCGTTTCTCTGAAGGTCATCAACCGGCTGATTCTTGCTATCTGAAACTGCCGGAGAAAAGAAACAGACAGAAACGAAAAGAGTCAACTAATAAGAGAGAATAATTAGTTTCGCAATAAAAGTTTCAACTTACATGACACGGGGTTCTTTTTGTTCAGTGCAGCATATATGCTTCTACCAGTGAAAAAAAGTGTTTTGAGAAAATTGTAAAGGCCATCTCCCAGGATGAGAGCGATGGAGATAAAAACCTGAAAACATGGAGTAAAATGATAACAACTTATTCAACAATGCTTCAAGGTGTAATGAGCAAAAGTAGAGGTCCAAATTATCCACCTAGTCGTTAATTGCAGACTTTATACATATTTACAAACCTTGTATCCATTGAGGCTCCTCATGCTGTTCTCCGGTAAGGTGGCCGGGAACCAAGCTCCTTTGCGATCACTAATTAGAGGCCACATAATTCCCCAAGACAGAACAGCTCCAAGAAGCAAAGACAAGTTCACAAGGTGTGAACAAATCATTCCAGCTCCAACATAAGTCATGCTGAAATCAAAATAAAATCTGCAAAATTCAATTGGTTATATTAATTATGATGGAGAAATCATTCAGTTAAGCCTGAAAACTAGATGTCAAGCACATACGTACGTCTGTTTCCAAGCTTTCAATCCAAAGGTGGGGAAGTTCACAAATCCGCATTGATCTCCACCAGAGTAAAACCATTGAAAGAAACTCCAGATGAAACTTATTGAGAAGAATCTCAGGAATCCATTGACCTGTTTCCTGAAATTTTGAGGGAAAACTAGATTTTCATTTCTACATTTCAGCTGGAAAAACAAGTTCCTATTAAAGTCATTGCATACTTGGCCATTTTGTCCCCCTTAGGTGTATGAAATCCATTAATAAGAACAGCAGTTGCAGTTCCACTGGGATAAGGTAATTTATAGTCAAGTATCATAATCTACAGAAAATAAAAATGCTCAAGAATCAGTCAAGGCAGCAGCTAGCACAAACATCAAATCTTTTCACAAACATCTTTTTTCAAGGAAGGTAGAACATACCTTTCTAAGAGGAACTAAGGCTAACAGACCAACAAAGCTAACAACAAACAGGAAACCAATCATCCAATCAAGCTCGGGTTCCTTGTAGCTCCCTGGTATATTGCCTTCTGTTTCAGCCCCTGCCCGCTCATATGTCTTCTTGTTCAATCCCAAAAGATAAGATCCAAAACCACCTAAAGAAGAGGAAAATTTACATTAACCTACAGCTGGAAAACCTCAAGAAATGATATATATGTATAAGAAATTTCTAAACCTCCAACGGCAATACTATAGCATGCAACTGCACATGTCTGAATAATGGTATTTTCCTGTCTAGTGAACGGAGTTGAAACAATATTGGCCTTTTTAAGAAGCTTAGTCCATGTTTGAATGAATACATAAGCAAGAAGAGCAGCTGAGACATTGAGATTTGGGACTAGTCCAGTAGTGAGATTCAACTTCATTACTATCACACTGTAAATGATTCCAATCAACAAACTTGCTACAATTCCTCGAACTGTTATTTGTTTAGTCCATGGAGGAATTCTCTTCGCATTTTCTTCCTCACTTCTCACTTCTTCCATATTTTCTTCCCTTTCGATAACCTTTCCTTCTTCCTTTTCCTCTTTTCTCATTCTACCAGCTAATAATACAGTTTCAGTCTCAAGATTAACAATAATCCCAGAAACAGTAAACAACTGTATGGCTTAGAAAACCATGGGATTAGCTGAAATTCACCTGAGCTTGTGCTTTTTCTTGTTCAGGTCAGAGAGATATAGAGATGATAACAATCTCCTAAAGCTAAAAAAATTTATTACTCGCTTCTTGAATATTACTACTTTAAAACTTCTAAAAAAAAAAGAGAGGGAGAAATAGTGAAATGCGAGTTAACGTGATCTGCAGAGGGAAATTCCACAGAAACAATAATTAAGAGCTTAAAAAGATCCAATCTTTACAACTTTTCTGCAGACCCAAAAAGGATATATCGTCATCCAAGATTCTCACTACAGGAATTTACCAAGAAAAAGCGGTACACAGGATTCTCAGCTATAGAGAGAGCTGAAGTTAGAAAAATTGTCACCAGACAATGTGGGGGATATTTGGAATAGTTGACTGAATAGATAAGACCATGGCATGTACTGCATGAGTAGTACAAACCACAATTAGCTTCGTGCAGTACAAAACTACCCTCAAATTCAACAACAGTGACCTCTATCTATATAGTGATTTTTGTAACAGATGGGGGATTAGAAATATTACTACTATTCTAGTTGATTTTGTTCCTTTTTGCTAACCTTTCTCTCTCTCTCTCATAATTGGTTGTCAATATATTAGTTTGCATTGGAGGATGATGTAATGGGAGAAAAAGTGGATTTTCTTTTGCTGGACCTATAATTTGGAATAGTAGATGTAGTACAAGCCGGATAAGAGAAAGCTTATCTTATAAAAGAAGTCTTACCTTCTCCACTTGGCTTGTGGTGTAAACATGGTGCTTTGAAATGTGGACTTTTTCTATCTTTGTCAATGCCCATTAAATGATTATAGATATGTAAGAATCGTTTCAAGGTACAGGGTGGCTTAGGTCCATTGACCCCAAATACTGGCAATTTACCCTTGCACTAAACGAATGAATAAATGTTATGTATATTTTACACACTTTCGCATTTAAAGAAGTATGTTTACCCGTAAAACACTATAGTTAAATTTGTAACGTGATTTATAGACAAGTGAATTAAATTGATTTGAGTAAATAAAATAATGAAGAACAGAAGCAAGTAAAATAAGAATAATTCAGGAAGAGACAAGCCTAGGCCTTGAATTGAACTTCTCTAAAAACAAAAATAATACCAAGACCTAAATATTAGCATAACAAAGTTTTGTAGAATAAGAGAGTAATATTAGCCTTTACTCATACGAGTATTTTGTGCACATCAACGACTACAAATTTCTCTATTTATAGGTAAATTAGGGGAGACAAGATCCTCAAATCAAGTTTTTCTTTAAAGTGTGTAGAACAAACAATTGTACAGTCTAGTAGTTAATTTAATATTGTGTAATTAGTTAGTTAGTGAATAGTATAAATAGAAGTTAGTTATGTGTACAGTAGCTTAGAGAATTAGTTGGAACAGTTGTCTTCCAATACAGAGAATGAAGCTCTCATTTCTTCTTCTTCTTCTTCTGCCATGGCTGCCTAGCTCAACATGGTAACAGAGCTTCAAGGCTAGATCGAGTAACTCAACAGATCAGGAGAGGAAGATCGCTGGTTAATAGCCTCCTTTTCTCTGTTCCTTTCAATTTTTCCAGCAATTTCCTTGAAGTCAGGGTTCGCTTGATTAGTGTCAATTTCTGTTGAAATTGAGTCATTTGCTATCTAAATCATCTCATTTAGAGGAGAGCGATACGATCTGTACTGTCTACAATGGCAATCGATGATGGAACCTCGACTTCAACTCCTCCTATGGTGACTACAACTCAGGCTCAAGTACTACTTCCTCCAGATCTGGTACATCATAATCATCCTCTGTATATTCATCCTTAGATACTCAAGGATCTGTTCTTATCTCAATTCAACTTCAAGGTTCTGAAAATTACTCAATTTGGAGTCGGTTAATGAAGATTGTTTTACATGGTAAAAACAAACTAGGTTTTGTTTTAGGAACCTGTAGAAGAGAAATGTATGATTCTACCTTATATGAACTCTGGGACAGATGCAACGCTATTGTTCTAGCCAGGATAATGAACACAGTATCTCCTAGTCTAATTAGTACTGTGATTTATGCATCTGATGCTCATAAGGTGTGGGAAGATCTCAAAGAAAGGTTTGATAAAGTGAATGCCTCTAGAGCTTGCTATCTACATAAAGAGATTACTGCATTAACCCAAGGCATATCTTCTGTATCTATGTATTTTTCGAAACTTAGGGAATTGTGGGATGAGTATGAAACTCTAGCCTCATCCCCCCCCCCCCTTCGTGTGGATGTCCAGAGTCTGTCAAACATGCTGAACATTATCAATTGCAAAAGCTATATAAGTTCTTAACAAGACTGAATGATTCCTATGAGAATGCCAAGGATCAGATGCTTATGACAAGGCCTTTACCAAACATAAACCAAGCATATGCTATGATAGTAAATGTAGAAAGCCAAAGGAGAAGTGGCAGTGGTGGACTTAATGATAGCATCAGTATTGATGGCAGTGATGCAACTGCTCTACTAAGCAATAGAGGAAATAACAGTGGCAACAATTCTGATGGTGGTAACATCAATTACAAATCTAAGACAACCTATAGTTCTGGAAGGTCTGCACTTCAATGTGACTACTGCAAGTTTAAGGGTCACACAAGGGACAACTGCTACAAGCTGCATGTATATCCAGATGATTTCAAATACAGGAAGAAAGGAGGCACTCCAAACACTTATGCTAGCAATGTGTATGGTGCAGGAAATCAGGGATTTGAAGCTCAAGGATCATCTCAACAAACAGCACTACACCAGCTCCAGTTCAGTTCTTCACTTCAGAATAATACAATCAGATTCTGCAAATGCTAAGCAAGGGAAAAGAAGAAGAACCTGTGGCTAATGCAGCTCAAGTGGGAACAATAGGTATTCCTACTACTCTAATGTCTAGTCTAGGAAGCCATAATTGGATAGTAGACATAGGAGCTACAAATCACATGGTATATCAGTTAGGCTTGCTTCACAAATTCAAAGAATTACCTCAAATGGGTAAAAATAAGGTACATCTACCTACTGCAGAGCAAGTGACTACCACTAAGACAGGAAAATATCATATATTTCAAGACAAAAAAATTGGAGAAGTCTTATATATACCTGAATTCAAATACAATCTAGTATCAGTATCAAAGATCACCAAGGAATTACAATGCTTTGCATCATTCTTTCCTGACTTATGTGTGTTTTAGGAACTCTCAAGTGAGAAGGTGATAGGGATTAGTAGATAAGAGGATGGCTTGTACATTCTGAGGAACAGAGGAAACTTACAACAACTTTCTAAAATAAGGATCTCATCAGTCAATCATCTGTAAATACCATTTCAAGCTCAATAAGTGAAGCTAGTTTCAATAATAGAACTAAGACTGTTGATTTGTCTCTTTGGCATAGAAGACTAGGACATGCTCCTTTAAGAGTGTTGAGGAATATTGAAAGCTTGTGTAACTCTCCATTGAATAATCACATGTGCTCTATATGTCCTATTGCTAAACAGGCAAGACTACCTTTCAGTCTTAGTACTACATGTTCTGCTAAGTCTTTTGATCTTGTACATGCTGATGTATGGGGCCCTTATAAGGTTTTCACACATGATAGTAGGAGATATTTCTTGACTCTAGTAGATAATATTTCTAGATATACATGGCTCTTCCTAATGCCTACTAAGGCAGAGTCTGTTGAAGTGCTAAAGGACTTCCTCATATATGTGAGAACTCAATTTGACTATGGAGTGAAATATCTCAAAATAGACAATGTTATAGAATTTTTCAATGATCAGGTGAATACTTTGCTTAAGTAGTGTGGGACTGTACACCAAAGTTCTTGTATATATATACCACAACAAAATGGTGTTGTAGAGAGGAGACACAGATATATCCTAGACATGGCAAGAGCACTAAGATTTCAAGCCTTTGTACCCTTAAGTTTTTGGGGAAAGTGTGTCTCTACAGCAGTATACCTGCTCAACAGATTGCCTACTGTGTTGTTGCAAGGTAAGTCACCTTTCCAGAAATTGTTCAACAAGACTCCTTCCTTACAACATCGCAGAGTATTTGGTAGTCTGTGCTATGCTACCAATGTCAATAAGGGTGATAAGTTCAGTCCAAAGGCAATTCCAGCAATCCACCTTGGATACTCCATAACTCAGAAAGGGTATTATCTCTATGACTTAGCCTCCAAGGAGTTCTTTGTAAGCAGAGACACTGTCTTTCAAGAAGACATCTTCCCCTTCAAGCACAAAAATAATGGTCTTTCTCTTATATTTCTTGTGGTGCAACTGGTTGAACCTGATCCTCCTAAGTCTTCTACTATATCTACTCCATTACATTCTCCTCCAAATTCCACTTCTTATGATGCTACTCAGTCTCTTCCATCATTTTCTGCAAGGGATCCCTCTCCTCAGCCGGTATAACCTAGAAGATTGTCCAGGGAATCAAGGCCTCCTGTATGGCTGGGAGATTATATTGTTCCACAGAAACCCTCCTCTTGCACATATCTACTGTCAAACTATGTGACATATTACCATCTCACTCCTGCCTACAGGGCTTCTCTAACTGCTTATTCAGCAATTATAGAACCCAAGACCTATGCTGAAGCCAGTTCTGATCCATTATGGGTGGATGCAATAAAGTCTGAAATTTCAGCTCTTGAGAGCAATCACACCTGCACAATTGTAGATCTTCCTCCTGGCAAAGTTCCTATAGGGTGCAAGTGGGTATTCAAGGTCAAGTACAAGTCCACAATAGAAGTGGAAAGATATAAATCTAGGCTGGTTGCCAAAGGCTACAACCAGCAGGAAGGGTTGAACTACATTGAAACATTTTCCTCAGTAGCTAAGATGGTCACAGTCAGGTCTATAGTGGCTCTTGCTGCTACTTCTCATTGGTCTGCGTTTCAAATGGATGTTCATAATACTTTTTTGCAGGGAGATCTATGTGAAAAAGTCTACATGCACATTCCTAATGGTTTTTCAAGCCAGGGGGAGTGTTAGAAGGTGTGCAGGTTAAATAAGTTCTTGTATGGACTTAAACGGGCTCCTAGAAAGTGGAACTTAAAGCTGACAGAAGCTTTAACAGTTTTAGGACTTGTACAGTCACACTATGACTATTCCTTGTTCACACACAAGAAGGGAGCATATTTGGTGATTGTTCTTGTTTATGTTGATGATCTGCTTGTGATTGGCAATAATCTAAACTTGATTGAGAAGGCTAGAAGGGACTTGCAGAACAAGTTTAAGATAAAAGACTTAGAAGAATTGAAGTATTTCCATGGCATAGAATTTTCAAAATCAGAGAATTGTGTCAGAGGAAATATGCACTTGAGCTGCTATCTGAGTC